GGCTAACCTACATGACTATCGGAATTTTGGTTAAGTTATAAAGAGAGGAACAATTGACGTGCACATAGAACATGGTAAGCGGTGACAGAAGTCGAAGGTCAAGGGAGCAGTTACCTCATGCATGAGAACGTGAATGCAGTTTTTTAACCATAGAGCTAGAAGTAAAACTGCAAAAGACGTGCACGCAGGACGTGGTAGCAGTTTTCGTTAAGTGCTCCTAAGAGATTACTTGAAGGATGCTCTATAAATAGAGCAAAAATGAAGGAGAAGGGGGAAATTGGCAGAGACAACAGAAGTGTTAGTGAAAAGTCTACCGGAGAACGACGAAATCATGAAGTTTCTGGCGATCTGGATTTCCATTTTCATTGATTATCTTTACCGTTTTTTGTACTTTCCCTGGTAATTCATGTTCATGCAATTTATTTCGATGCAGTTTACGTTTAAGAAACTTTAAGTTTCTGCACTTTTAATTCTATGTTATTTTACTTTTATGCAAAGTTGAGATCCTGCATTTAAGTTCCTCGCTATTTACACTTATGCAATTTCGATTTCCTGTTATTCTCTTTCTTGCAATTTCGATTTCCTGTTAACTACTTTTCTGCAAAGTTCGATTTTCTGCTTATTTACAGTTCTGCAATTTTCGATTCCTTGCCATTTACACTTAATGCAAATTTTGAGGTTTCCGCATTTATGTTTCTCTGCAATTTAATATTTTGCACCACTTTTCGATCCAACAATTTTACTGTTTTCTTTACTTCGCGTTACCTAATAAAAATACCAAAAATAGTACTTGCGATTTGCACTTTAAATAGTGTTGTTTGCATTCCCGAGATTCTCAATTCTCATGCACTTTTCGATTGAAAACTAGTTGCTAGCCTAAGTAAAAAGGATCTACATGGTCAAGATTTGATTAGGACTCAACTCCCCATACATTCGAAATCAGTCAAATTTTCACCAGAAACACATATACAAATTAATGAGATACTCTATATTTTAATTTATGATTTTCTTAAATGCATTTTGTAAAACTGTTGTATTGGAATTTATTGCTCGAGTTTTTGGTTCAATAAAGAATTGCTGATTTTGATAATATTTTATGATATATATCATCATTCTTAAAAAAATATACTCCCTTATGCAAGTTTTTATTAATTGCATTAACTAGTAAAGTATACGTATCCATTTTAATTTATACTTAATGCATTCAAATTCAAATTGAAAATCAAATTGTTTCATATCCAAAATAATAACAATAGTTTCTTGCCTATTTAAATCTTAAAAAAAAAAAAACTGTACTAATTTGCTCTCAATATTAATTAAAGGTAACTACGATCATTTGATTTTCATAATTTAATATTAAAGGTGATAGCATAAGTATATATTTTGATTCAAATAAATAATAGATTTAAATGGAAAAGTCTTACGTATCAAACAACATTAATAATCATATGTAATTAATTTATGCAAAATCTAATTTTAACTTTTTTATAAAACTAATTATATATATGTCTTTTTTTTTAGTTTTAAACATACACAAGATAGAAGTAATGATGCATTAAATATGAAACTATGGAAGCAATCTTAAACCTACCTAATAGGAAACAAGTTATAAAACAAATTGTAACAAATGAGAGTGAAAACATGGGAATTAGGGTGTTTTTATAAATTCAAATAATTATTTAAGACTAAAATTTACTTCTTGCCTTTAATTCGAAATATGTTCCGTGATCTTCACCTCCATAAATAATTGTGTATCAAGATGAAAGGAGCGTTAAAAATAATAAATGATGTAATAATGTATTGAGATAGTTAATTATTTATACTAATCGATCAGGTAATTGTTTAATTAGTTAGTGGATCCAATATTTCATTTTGTGGGATGTTTGGAGAAATTATGCGGAGGAGTTTTGAAAGAAAAATCCACTTTATTTGTTGTAAGAGCAATGCCCTATGAGCTTTAGAGAAGGTTGGGGAGAATCACATCCCCATGATTCTTCGTCCAGAGAATATAAATTTTTTTAATATAAAAGTTATACGGAATAAACACTAAATCAAGTTAATTACCCTTTAAAAATATACATAGGTAGCTATTTCAACCAGATATCTTTATATATTGGCCATAGTATTAAAATCAAATCCAATTTTGGCTCCCATTTTGTTCTTATAAAAAAATTAATTACACATTTAGTTTTCCTATCTCTAAAATTAACCAATTTTAATTCACTATTTATACGTTATCAATCTTTTAATTAAAAATATTGATGTAGCCATTCTTAATAACAAAAAATAATAATAAAAAATTCAATAACATATACTGAGATTAATAATATAATTTTATTAATATTAAAATATTAACATTTTTATAAGCAATTAGATGATATATCAAATCAAATGTACTTCATTTTTAAAAACTAGATAATCAAACGTACCATTAAATTTTGATAAGAATAAAAAATCATACGTAAATAACACTATAGGAAGAAAAAATGAATTTAATATCATTTTCATATATTGACTGAATATGTAATTTTTGTGTGAACTGATTTAATTTTTTAATTTAATATGATTTTCATCGACCATTACTTCCTCTGACAAAATCACACCGTTTTAGAAAAGTAACAAGGATGAATTCAAAACATCATTCTTCACCAGAAAGTAACTTGGATTGCAATGTCCAGGTCAAGTGGGTGAACGTTACTAGTAATTTTGATCACTCAAGTGGGTGAACGTTACTAGTAATTTTGATCACTTAGATACAAAATTGTTAGATTGGATTTCTCGAAAGAAAAATGTGGGAAGATAATAAAATCCCACGCACACCCAAATAAATCATAAATACACGTTTAAGCAGTTTATTTATTATATAAGAATGATAAACTTATGACGATAGCTTGCAGACTTTTCTTTTAGGTGGCTTTGACTGCCGCAATAACTACGCTGATCATGGTAAGTATAAGAAACTGATTGGGCAACAGAGCTTCGGTTCATTGTTGACCGAGATAATCTTGTTCACTATCAACCAGGTCAGATAAAAACAAATATTTAGAATCAAACCATTTAATGGTAAAAAATTATAACAAGAGAAAGGAAAAAAGAACACGTTCAGCTTGCATCTTTAAATTACTATTCAGTGTTGTTCACTCGAGCCTTTTTTGGAAAAATTGCCCATATTCTAACCCGTTTGCAAAAGATGAGATACACGTACGAAATGCTAATCAAACATTCATACGATCAAATCCACTCAACGTGCGCAACTTTTTACTTCCTCAATTTTCAAATTAAACCTCGAGCCAGGAACCCAGGCTGTTTCCCCCCTGCAGTGTTACTGAAAATGAAATTTGCCAAAGTGCATAAAACAATGAATAAATGTGTAAAATAGATTCTTTGGTAAGCAAGTCCTAATCTAGAAGCGACACAGAGACCGAGTCTATCCTGCATCTTTGATTATTCAGGTCTTTTGCAAAATGCTCAAAAAAAAAAAAAGAAAGTATATTTCAACGTGTTAGTAAAAAATCGATACAAGGATCGAAAAATAGAAGAGAAAAAATCGAAGATCATATTATTGGTTAAAAAGTTGATAAATGAGAAAAATGATTGAAAGACACCCGGTGACCACGAGATAGTATGAACATATAAATCGAGAATGGAAATCGAGAATCAGAAAAAAGAGAAACAAATCGATGAAAGTAATGATAAAGTATAGTGTAAAGTCAAGGTTAAGGGAAATCGTATTTGATAACTGAAATCGAGATCGAGAGAAACAGTTATCATGCATATGGAACATGAGGAGTGGCTTTTCACATCGTAGCTAAGGTAACAATCGAGGAACGTGCACATGGAACGTGGGGACAATTTTTTTTAACTGCTCTTGGAATGTTACATTGAATGATGCCTATAAATAGAATGAAGCCTGAAGAAGAAAGAGAAATTGGCAGACACAGAAGCACAAGTGAAAAGTCTACCGGAGAACGACGAATCATAAAGTTTCTGACGATCTGAATTTTCATTCTCATTGACTGTTTTTACCGCTTTCTTTACTTTCCCTGGTAACTTATTTACATTCATCAATTTAAGTTCCTGTACTTTAAATTTTTTGTCATTTACCTTCAACGCAATATAAGATTCTGCACTTAAATTTTCCTGCATTTACTGTTTTTGCAATTTCGATTTCCTGTTATTTACATTTCTGCAATTTCAACTTCTTGCCATTTACATTTAATGCAATTTGAAGTTTCCACATCTTTATATTTTTTCTGCAATTTGATATTCTACACTGTTTCTTCGATTCAATATTTTCTTCTTTATTGTTGTCTTTACTTAAAGTTTCTTAATATAAAATATCAAAAATAGTATTTTCGATTGTCAATCAACACACTAGGTTGCATTGTTAGCGTTTTTTGATATTATGGAATTTTCGATTCTCATACACGTTTTGATTGAAATTTATCGCTAGCCTAAGTGAAAAGAATCTACGTGGTCAAAATTTGATCAGAATCTAAAATCGAAATCGATCAAATTTTCACCAGAGACACAAGACCCCAAACTATTATGTGCAAACAAAGATAGACTCGTTTGCATCATTAAAAATTGAAATTCTGATGAGCCGGGTTCCGGGAAAGACAGAAAGCTAAGTAGGAGTCATTCCTATGGTTACCAATGTAAACTCGTCCTATCTATCAATGACTACATGAACATGCAGTGGTTAAACATTCCCAGCTAGTGCTTAAATTTTTATGGATGAAAATCATTTGAACGGGTAGATAACATTATATTTTATAATCTGAATCAGAGTAAATGAATTTTTTAAACTAGTTTTGAAGCTTCTTCCCACTGTTGTCAAGATTTTGCTCGTCTTAATGCAAAGCTAGTGATGGTTTGATTAAGATCCCCGTTGCAAATGTGAAAAGTAGTAAGGCAAACCAATTAACAATATGAGAGCATAATATACATACGGAAAGGCATCAAAAGCATGCAATCATTGCAGTTAACTTTCAACCTCATCAGTGTCTTCCATCAGAACCGCTTCCGGAGCCAGGAAGGATGCATGGAGATGCAGTGCCTCCAATAAATTGAACTGATGATTTGGCTAATTTAACTACAAGCATGCTACCCTAAGCCTGTCAAACATCGAAAACCATTTGATGTATCAGAATTAACTTAAGAAACCAACCAAGAGCTCTGAATTGAAAGATTATCATTATATTCGACTCTATTAATTAATCTATATATACTCATATCATATTATATTTTTCTTTCCTTACAGCGATGTAAACTACTAAAAATCAACTAAAGCTGCTCCTTGCATCTAAAACCTAGTGCTGGGAAACAACACAAGCAAGGAAATTAGCATCATCGTCCTCGTCGTCATTCGTTCTTTTCAAATTCCAATCCAACATTTCCTTCTCTTTACAAAATCACACGCCTCTGTACCTCCTCCAATCTCGACCACTTGTCTAACTTCGCTTCACCTCTGCAAGAATGAATCACCAAATGATTAGTTTCCTCGTAAAAAACGAATAGCATGTTAAGAATCACGTTTGGAATGTGAAAGCTTGTGAAAATCACAACGAAATCGTGAAAAATACAAGACAAACAGCGGAAAGAAAGAACCTTCGTAGGTGTATCAGCGACTCTGTAAGCATCCGCAGTTATCCCCACTAACCATAGGCCAGGGAAAACACTCTAAAATAAAGAAAAATAAGAAAAAGGTTTAGAAAAACAGAAACAAGAAAAAGGTGGAAGGAAGGGGAGAAAAGTCAGAAAGTTAAGAAGCATACGTCCATTTGTTTCTGGACATTCTTGGGCCGTTTCCTGGGCCTGCGGGCAGGCCTGGACCCAGTCATGACGAAGATGTCCTCTTCGATCTCTTCTCTAGAAAGAGCGATCCAGAATTTCCTCTTCTCCTTCTTCTCCGAACACTGCGTGTCCGCGAACCCTCGAAGCCGGAGCGACTTCGGCGCGGGGTTCTCACCGTGGTGCGAAACGGCGTCGTGGAACTCTCCCACACAGTTGTTCGCGTGGTTGCGGGAAGGACCAGTTCCGATCTCGAGCGCGGACTTAGGGAGCGCTGGCTTGCGGGGGCGCAAGTTCCACGGCTTCTGCACAGCCTCCTCGGCGTCCTCGTGGTCGCGCTTCGCGGCTTCATCGTCGGTTTCGTCGTTGCACGACGGCCGCTGGGGTGGTTGTGGTGGAGGAGGTGGCGACTTGAGGGAGCACGGGGGGAGTGCGAATCGGTTGCGAGCGGTCCTGGATCCGAGGCGGTGGGGGCGAGAGTCGGGGTCGGAGTCTGGTTCGGAAGCTTGATCAGAGGGGAGGGAGGAGGGGCGGCGGTAGCGGTGGTGGTGCGCGGCGTTGGTGTGGTTCTTGCCGCTGGCACCCCATTTCAAGAAGGGGAGTGCAAAGTTGTGAAGAGGCTGGGACTTCACCGGAGGCTGTGCCGGTGCGGTGGCCATTGAAAAAGGCAGAAAGCTCTGGCGGAGTGAGTCTGAAAGCTGCAGGAAGATTGGTTGTGTTGAATCGGCGCCGTTGGGAATGAGGGTAAGAAAATGAGGGGAAAAAGAGAGGAGGGGCTCAGAGGCCCTGGGGTGAGGAAGAAGTGTGATAGTATGAAAACCAAATAGTAGAAAAGAGCAGAGAGAGTTGGTTGTTTCTTCCTTGCTTGCTCTTTTGTTTGTGTTGTTGTGGTGCTTAAATTCTAATGCCTTCTCTTCACATTTTTACCCTTAACCTTTCTCCTATATTTCCTCCCATTCTTCTTCTTTTGGATTTTAGGGTCCCAACTCAGCGGCCCACTCCTCCTACCACCCCTTCTCCCAAACCATTTATTTCCTTGCAACCACAATGCTCCTAACCCAAACAAAAATGTTTAGTGGCACCATCTTGATGAGTGTTTGGTTGCACATCCCAAATGTGACTTTCACACTTAACCATAACCTAGTAGAACATTTTCTACTTTTCTTCTTCTCACTGCATTTAATCTTTTATATTATATTATTTTTAATCATTTATTATAATCAGCATCAATGTTTACCATTTTAGTTACATAAAAACAGTTTCAAAATAATTAATTACTTTCATTTGTATACAATACAAAATTATTTTCTACGTGAAAAAAAATATATGTAAACTTTAAAAGAAAAAAAAAACACGCTAAAAAAGTTACTATATTTATTTTTCATTTTTATATGTAAACATAATTTATGTTGATACAGACTATCAACTTGCACAATAAAATTATTTTATTTTATTTAGTTAGAGTCTCTCTTTGACGTGTGTCACAATAGAATTCCTCGAATAAAACTCTTCATGTTAGAATGATATCATCATAAACCTTCCAAGAGTGAACAAATAAATATTTTATAAAAATTAACAAATATGCATAACATAAGATGGGATGGCTTTAATAATTAACTTCATTAAAGTAACTCAACTAGCTGTATTGAGAAAAATATTTTTCACGCTACAAAATTTTCTTTTTTTATCAAAAATAGAAGCAAAATAATATTCTTCAATCAACTAGTCAAAATCGGAAAAATCAAAATATCTAGGCTTTGTGTTTAAAACTAGTAATGGAACTAAATATTTTCATCTTCACTCCCTTGACCAACTTTATTGAAATCTAATTGTTTTAATATTTATTTAAAATCAATAATAAGGAAAGAGGAAGAATTTAATACCTTACTCACTTGAGATGTCATAATTTTAGTGAAAATAAAAAGGAAAAAAAAATGTGATTCATTACAGGAAATATCAATTAACTTGATTTACTATTTTTACTTTAACAAAAAAAAATTAATTATTTCTATACATAGAAAATAAAAAGTTCCTTATCACTAACTCATATAAAAGAAAAATTATCCACAATCTCATTATTTCATTTAAGAAAAACAATATACTATGGTGTATTACTAACTGTCAAATTGCAATTTGAAGAAGACCAAATTGGAAAAGAAAAGAAAAAAAAAACAAATTGGAAGAGAACAAAAATACAAGAATCATTTAACATGCTCGATTGAGTAGGAAGTTGACCAACAAGAGAGTCTAACAAGTTATGGTCCAATTTTTTGAAATGATCCAAAACATTTTTTAAGCTTTGTAGGGTTATCACCCATGTAATAGGAACAATGAGAGTATCAACAGAAATTAATTTAATGGTACTTATAGTAAAGAATTTTGTCATAAACTCTTAAATATTCCTAGAAACAACATCCCAAAAAGAATGGAAAAATATGTCTTGAAAGCATTTAGTCTTGGAGACTCAAGAATGCATGGCAAAAACTACTTTTTTTAACTTCTGTCGTAGTAACATGGTGAAAAAGTTATTCATTCTTATTAATTTCAGGACTATTATTTAACAACAAACTCAAGTGGCACATCAAATTGGAGATTAAAAAAATCTTCACAAGCTTTGAGCCTTGCTTTTAAATAGACTTATCGATCCCTGCAACGAACCTAAAAATCGTTAGTATAATAATACCTTCACAAAATAGTAAATAACAACATTTATATTACATTATATTATTGTAATTGTAATATAGATTGAAATTTCGGTTCATTAACGGAACTTTAAAACATAGTAACATAATTTATTTATATAAATACATGCAAAAGTAGCTCTTACAAAGTTATCCCACTAACTATCCATGTTGTACAGTAGTCATATCTACACCTCTCAACTCCTAATCTGCTCCTACATAAAAGTGATCATCGCAATCTCATCCACATGGAAAAATAGGGGTAAGTATTAAATCATTCAATATAATAAAGCAGATATAAAATTAATAATTACATATTATCATCAATTACAAATCATTAATACACTAAGATGTCTTCCGGAAGTCTACCCTAACTATGCCCGAACTCAGAGGCTATCATCTGTGGGCACATTGTGGTCGACACTCGCAATACTATCCTGACCACCCTCCACACAGAATAGGATTAATGGCGCCCTTCATCACTCATTCTGGAGTACTCCTTCGAGCGCGCCACCAGTCATCCCTCATCGACTTCTCACCACATGATCTCGTAATATACCTAACCCGACCAATCAGTAAAGTCTGGGACCTCATCTGAATCTTCCGACATAGTTAGTACTCTAATATACTCTGTACCACCCCGGGTACCATTCAAACACAACAACAATCATTCACATCTGTCAGATTCTGGATCACCTGTCCTCACGGCTCATTCGGGTTAATAAATAATAGTACTTGACTGATTCTGGGCACCAACCCTTCTTTAAAATTTTTAATTTCATTATATATTTTAATTATTTTTCTTAACATACCTTTACTTTATTTTTAAAATTCCAATTATACCTTTAAACATTTTCCATTATTCCTTTTTCATCCCAAAATCATTAAATTACTATTTTGCCCTTAATCTTTTCTTAAAATTTCATGTATGTCCCTAAATGACTATTTTACCCTTGGACATTTTTTAAAATTCCTTCCATACTCCCAAAATGACTATTTTACCCTTGGACAATTTTGAAAATCCTTCCATGTCCCAGAAATGACTATTTTACCCATGGACATTTTCAAAAATTCCTTCCATGTTCCGAAAATGACTATTTTACCCTTGGACATTTTTGAAAATTCCTTCCATGTCCCTCAAATGACCGTTTTACCCTTAAACATTTTTGAAAATTTCATTTATGTCCCTAGGATGTAAAATGACTATTTTACCCTTGATCTTTTTAAAAAATATCCCCTTATCCCTTTCTTCAACCTCGCATCCAGTAACTGTATCAAATTTTGCAGATTTCCAATTTCTCAGTGCCAGACAATCAAACTGGTTTCAAATTCAAATTAAACATGAACTATGTTCAATTTAAGTCAAAAACAACAATTTTACCATATAAGTTATCCTTAATTTCAAGAATTTCAAAAAAAAATCAAACTTTTCAAACATGAAGAAATATTTAAAATCAGTCGTTCAATACTTCAAGTTTTCACTCATATTCCTTATTCTCAAAGTACCCAGCAATTCAGTCTCATATATTGAATGAATTAAACTTCCCTTTACCTTTTGTTGTATTTCTGCCGAAACTTTCCCACTTAATCCAAACTTTCTCCCGTTTCACCAGATCCTGCACGAGTAGAGTATCGTTTGCTTGAAATTTAGACGAAAGAAGAATAAGGACGAAGAACGCGTGATATGGGAGGAATAATTTCTTGTTGTAACCATTCCTCCCCCTTTGTATATATATAGAAAATTGGCATGAAGAAGAAACTTCACTACGAAATTTTTATGCACAATAGTTTTTACACAATAATATTATTATAATATATAAAAAAAATACTTCACACATGCACCATACACCAATTATGTTTAAGCTAATAACTTTATTTTTTTTTAAATAATAGTTTAAATGTGATAGGATTTGCATTTTTTATTATCATATTTTATCAAATTTATTTTATATTATTGGAATAAAAATATCTCCTTCTAGGGTTAAAGTTCAATTATATGGTTTTAACGTTCCTTCTAAAATAAGATTAATGAATTACCTTAGGTCATAACAAGTTGTGAGCACCTCCAACATAGGTAAAATGTTTCTACCTCACTCATTCCATAAGCGAAAGACAATATCATGGTAAAAAAATTACCAAGGTACAATAACTCATATATGAGTCAAGAGGTCTAAAAGCATGGAAAGATTCTTGAATAAAAATAATCTCTAACATGTCATATTCAACATTGTTCACACTACTACAAATATCACATTTCACATCGGTTCCAGAATCAACGTTGAATTGGGGAACCGATGTAAAAAGTTTGAATTTTTTATTTTTTTATAATCCCTTTTTATTTATTTGGTTGTATTTATTTATAATACCCTCTATCCTCCTCTATTTATCTAGAGGTCCCCCTCCCCTTTATATTATATTTTTATTATTTATTATATTGTTTTAAGAGAATTGTCACTAGCAGGATTCGAACCCAATACTTTAGAGTTGGAGGCCGATACTCCAATCACTAAACTACTAGGATTTTCTCGATAATAACTTAGAAATAAATTATATTTAAATACTGTATATCCGTGTAAATATATAAATATAAAATATATAAATATATAAATATAAATATATTTATATATTTTGATATATTTATATAGTTATATATTTATATGTTGGATGTGAGGGCGCGTTCGAGGGTGAAAGTGTGTGTCGAGTGGATCTTCAAAATTTGATACCAAATTTAATCTAATTAATAGAACCATTTTTTCCTTACATAGATTATTATAAATTAATCAAAATCATCTTTTAATAATTATTTTTTCTAGACATAGATTAATTTATAATAATTTATTAAATAAAATAATTTTAAAAATAAATATTTAATTATTTTTAATATTTAAAAAAATTATTTTAATATAAGAATTTCAATTAAATAATAGAAGAAAAAAAGATAAAAAGAATAAAATAAAATAAAAATAAATAAAGAAAAAACTATTTTATATCATTATATAAATAAATTATAAAGATTATATTCTATCATTAAATTACAAACCCATATAAAGATACTCGCTCACAAATTTGATATTAAATTTTGAAAACCCACTCGACACACACTTTCACCATCGAACGCATTCTCACATCCAACATATAAATATGTAAATATATAACTATATAAATATATAATTATATCAAAATATATAAATATAAAAATATATTTTATTTATATATTTACACGGATATACATTTATTTGTATATAAATATAATTTATTTATAAATTATTATAAAAAAATCTTAGTAGCTTAGTGGTTGGACTATCAGTCTCTACTATTAATGTAATGGGTTCAAAACCTGTTAGTGA